TGCAGTGAGATGCTACAGGGGAGCATTGGCTGAGCTTCCTGGTAGTTATTCCCTCCTCTCCCCAAAATGCCTGTCCCTGTTCCCGGTTCCTCTCTGCGCCCCTGATGTGTGCCTTCCCCAGCCCTAGCTGGCTTTCTGCTCCCAGCCCAGCGGTCCTGGAGCTAATGCCCTTCCGTCTAGATCTTCTGGGCTCTTGGGGGCACAGCTTGGTTGTGAAATCAAAGCTGTTCAATTTGCTCGCCAGGGTCATGGGATTGCTCTGTGCTGTCGCAAAGCAGTGGATTTGGCTGCGCCTGCCCGGGGTGGGAATAGCAGGGGCAGCCACAGACGGCACCGGCATAATTGGGCAGGGGGACCCTGGAATAGAGAAGCAGAGGGTCCAGATGGGTTTCAGCAGAGCAGAGACGGGGAGATGGCAGATGAAGAAAGGGGTGTGTAGGCAGAGCTGATAGCTGGGCAGAGAGGGCATGCCCCTGTCTTGGGAGGAAATGCTGCTATTCACAAGCCTCCGTGGTCAGAGCTTTTTCAGCTGCTAAGCAGTTCTGCGTTCCTGGCTCGTGCTCCGCTCCATCGCTGTACCTCAGCTTCGGGCCTGTGCAGCTGCCCTTCCAAGCACACAGCTGCTTGCCCCCTGCCCCGCAGCTCCCCAGGACATTACTTCCTCCTCTTTCCTCTCAACCTCCGGAGACGAGTCCCTGGAGCTGGAGCCCTTAGAAGGAAGGGAATCTCGCTGTTGGGAATAGGGAGATAATGATAGGTGCCCTGCAGGCTCCTCTAGGGGTAATTACGGACTCCGCCATTACAATATTAATTAGCTGCCTTTCTCTTAAGCTCGTAGCGCTCTTCAGAGGATGTTATTTGCTATGAAAGGGAAAAAATTAGAAAAAATAATCCCCCCTACCCCAACACACTATTAATCAGCAGGGGGCTGTTTAATTGGATCTGCCATCTCCTGCCTCCTAAATGCCATCTAAATGATAGATGAGCAGCGGCTTCTCCAGAGGAGCTCCTGGGCGGATGTGTGGGGTTAAGGAGGGACAAACAAGGGGGAATGATGGATGGATGGATGGACAGACGCCCTTTACTTAGAGCTGTTGAAGAATGACTTGGTGTTCCCCAGACCCCACTACCGTAGTGATCTACTGTAGGGCTTCCTCAGAAGCTGCCTCCTTTTAAGGCTGTTGCCCTTATATCCCTGGTACGTCATTTTTTAGTGTCCCTTTCATGAGAGAACCTGTGAAAATTATGTACATCCCATCCCAAGAGAACCTAAACAGGAATCCTGTCTTTTGCGGGAGGAACTTTAGCCATAAATCATGCCCATGCAGTGCCCAACACGTGGGGGCTCTCATCCATAACCTGTGATGGAGCCGGATCTCAAAATCCATGTAGGAGTCTGAATCCCCACTTGGAATCTGTCTGCCTGTTAATGTTGCAGTTGTACAGGGAGCTGGATCCCAGCCTCCCTAAAGTCTTTTGGGGTGCCCCTGCCGAAGTGGGACTCCAGGCATAGCTCCTTTGGAAGGGAAAGTCCCTTGGCTGCTTTGATTTGGAGCCTGCTGGCTCAAAGTGCTTCTGCTTTTCAAAGTGGACCCATGCCCTTTTAAGGACTTTGCCCCTGTTAGGGACTTCACCCCCCTGGGGAGTTAATGCAACCAGTAAAATTGCTGGCAGTGATACACAGTAGCCTTGTTGTAGCAAACCGGTATTTGTTAGTCCACGGGGATGCAGTAGGTAGCCAGGGTCCTTGGGCAGGCAGGACAAACCCTGATCTAGCTGATTCTGTTTGCAAGAGGAGATTGCAGTACCAGGCTCTTGCAGTTCATCTCCCTCTGTGACCCCAAAAGAGCATGCCTTTCAGCTAGCTAGCTTGGGCAGCGGTGACAGTCTGACCAGAGCAGCACAAACCCCTATCAAATGATTTATTTCATTTCCTGACCGGGTTTTGCAGCCGCACGCTGAGTTCTAAGCTACCACGAGGAAGCAGGTCCCTGAATACGATGAGCAAGCATCAGCGTCTCGCGCTACAGTGCCAACAGCATAGAGATGTTGCTAAAAGCCAGTCGCCGCTGTGACTGGGGGAGTGTGAAGATACTGGAGCTGTGGTATTGGGTCTCCCATTTCCCAGAGATGGTGGAGAAATCACCTGGCACTTGGCCCTCGCTTAATCACTAGCCACTGGGCTACTGGCTGGGGGCTGACCTAACCAAAGTGTTTCCCCACCTTCTCAGGCAGGTTTTGCAGCGTGCCATTGATGTGAGAGTGCTGTTCAAAGGCAGCTCAGGGGTTTCTGCAAGGGAAAAGTCTCTTTTGTTCCGGCTCTTTGGCCCCCAGGTTAGCAAGGGAGTGTTTGGTGGCTGAGTCTTCCTCTGTCTCCTCCCCTCCAAGGCATTCCCGTCATACATGCTGATACCATTCAGTTCCCGATAGCATCCAAACTGACCCAGACAGCTGGCGCTCAGCCCTGTCTCGCTCCTCGGAGGAATCCTTAACTCTTTCACCCCCAGGAGGCAGCAGCACAAGGAGAAGTAGGTAAACTGAGTCCTGCAGAGTCGCCCTCCATCCTAGCTTGGAGTCTTCTCGTGCTGCAGGACAAGCAAGGACAAAACCTGTCCTTGCTTCAGAGAATTTATGCTCTGCGGCGTCAGTGGCTGGGTGCAGGGAACAGCTTGCAGGGGCTGTGGCTAATTGGATGTAACAGGTGAAACAAATAGATGGGAGGAGATGTGGGAGCAGGGAACGGGGCGTGTCTGGTGCAGAGCAGTTGTTGCAGTCCCCTGCCTTTTTCATGTGCTGCTTTAGGTCTGCCCTTGGTGTGTTGGCCCTGATGCTGACTTTGCCCTCCGGTTCCCCGCTCAGTTTGGTTTCTGGTCCTCCTGTGCTATCCTGAGTCTGCTTTGGGGGTCCAGGCATTTTCAGGGGGCTCTGGGCCAGCCTCACTCCCCACAGCATCTCTCTGGAGGGCTCTCCTTATTTTTCCTGAGGTCTGCCTTTCATAATCCCTTTCACAGTTCCCCAGGGCTTCTGTCAATGGAGCCTTCTTCCAGCATGCGGTGGAGAGAGGTTCCTCTTGCGTCTCCTGCTTGCCCCACTGCGCGCTCCTATCTTGAGCCTCCAGAAAAGTCTCCTCCTACCCTCTCCTAATCACCACAGTCCAGTCTGTGCCCTGCCCTGCCAGCAAACAGCTGACTTGCAGAGGAGGTGGGTAGTGCTGAGGCTAGAAAGACTGATAACACGTCTCTCTTGTCATTCTGCAGTCCTGGCTCAGCCTGCTCGTGCCCTTTGGCTGAAGAGCTGGGCTGTGCAGGATTTCTGCTCTGTGAGGAGGGTGAGACTTTCCCTGTTGCATTTAGGGGAGGAGGGGAAGAGATGGCAGGAAACAACTTAGCCAGTGAGCCATCCCACCCCAGTTTTGCCCCTGAGCATCCAGCTGCTGCTGGCACTCCTCTTCGGCTGGACTGTTAAGTAATCATGATTGCATTCACACCCAAGTTGCAGTATTGCTGCAACACGCCCTTGCTGGAAAATGCCCAGCTCCCTGCATGTGTCTGGCTGTATGAAATAAAAGTAGTCTGCAGTACAGGATTAGAGGACTAAGGAATTTATGTGGTCTTGTATTGCTTGGGGGTGAGGGAGACCCTTCCTTTTAGCCAGAGGAGCATGCCCTCCTCCAGAGCTCAGGCCCTAGGAGGCGGCAGGGAAAGTGGGTGGCCTTGAACCACACTGAATACTCTCCAACCTGGGCTGCATGTTCCATGCCAGGGCTTTCCTGCTGCTGTCACAGGTGAGTAGACTTGAACTGACAAACAGGAGAGCCAGCAGGGCAGGGGGACTCCTTCTGCCCTAGGGTTTGCAGGGGATGGAGGAGCTGGAGGACAGGCTGATGCCAGGGGTTTCTCTGCCCTTGTGGAATGGACTCTTGAGACGAGAGGATTCCCTGCTCCAGGGTCCTTTTCCTGTCCTCCCCTGCCACAGCCCCCTCCTTGGCACTGCCGAGTCTCCCATCTGTGCAAATTACAGCTGGGGCTGACTGAAATTAAGCCCTTGTCAGCACTTCAGGCTTCCCTGAATAGGATCAGTGTTGCTCCTCTGCTGTCTCGGTACTCCGTTCTAGATGACAGAACTAGTAATGGTGTTACAGATGAAGGAAACTGAGGCACAGAAACCACAGGCATGCAATCAGTTTCTTAAAAGCTGCCTGTTCTTAGCAAGCACATGAGTGCATGTGCGCGCGCGTGTGTGTGTGTGTGTGTGTGTCCCCCATGTTATTGCCACCCTCCCCGCCCAGTGATTTAAACAGTGACAGGACTTGCAAACTGCAGTGGGTTTCTCAGTAAATGAACATCATTAATACTATTTCAGCTTTCTCTAGATACAGACTTCCACCCAAAGCTATAGTCAGCCTTGCTTCCAGTTTCTGTCCCCGGCACCGCAGGGGGAGGTGTTTGTGTAAGGAACAGCTGTTTTTTCCACTGGAAGGATTTATTTTTGAAACAAATGAATGGAAAGATTTTTTTTCTGTTGGTCTTAGGTTTGGGCCAGACAGCTGCAGAGAGAGCAGAGAGCCACCTGGGTGCTATTCCTGACTCGCTGGCACGGCCTTTCTTCTGTGGGGTCTCTCCTCCCATTGTTGGTGGGGATATTCAGTGCCCCGAGCCCTCTGTATGGTTAAACCTGTTTCCACCAGCTTGGGATCTAACTCCATCCTAGCGCTGAGCACTGCTGTTACAGTGAAGCAGCTACAAAATCTAGGCCTGGAGTAAAACCCGGGCTGAGAGCAGCATCCCAGTCGCATCCTGCTAGGAGACGGGCGGAGGTGGGATTAGACCCCGTGAGCTCCAAGCTTGAGAGCTGGTCCCTCCACCTTGCTGCATCCCAGTGTTTCTTGAGAGGCGGCCCTGCAGCACCTTCCCCTGTCCCGTGGCATGCACGGATCTACTTGCCAGGCTCTCGGACCTTCTTGCTAATGACTATTTTTATTCTGAATTCTTGTTTTGTAGCTCCTGTTGCTGCCGGTATCCAGGGAACCCTCCTCCTCCTCCTCTGGGAAATGCACAGTGGTCGTTGCTAAGGTTGCTTCCACGGTAACATGCACATCCTGTTTACACCTTTATCTGGAGAAGTTGGGCTCGGCTAATCACACCGGCTTCACCTGGGAGGCTGTAGAAGGAAGCACCCGCTTCCCCCTCCCCAACCCCCCGATACCTCCGCTGCGATCCTCCGGTCTCCACGGGGCTGCGGAGTGAGGCTGCCAAGGACTGCCTGTGTCCCCTGCGGGACGTTCGGGGGAGGGAGGTAGAAACCTAGGAGCCAGCATTTGTTTGGGGTTTTTGGTTTTTGGGGGTTTTTTTCCAATTTCCGGGTGCATCTGCTTTGACTCTGGTTGTGTTGGCAAGATGACCAACAACTCTGCAGACCACCATCCTGGCAACTCTGTTGCCGAAGGCAACCATGAAGGGGACTTTGGTTGTTCCGTGGTTGAACTACGAAACCTCATGGAGCTCCGGAGCTCCGAGGCCGTCACCAGGATAAACGACACCTACGGGGGAGTGCAGAACATCTGCAAGAGGCTGAAGACCTCGCCAGTAGAAGGTAAGGGGCTGAGAAGTGGGAGCATATCTCCCAAGCTCCCATAAGCTGACCAGGCAAGATGGGGAGCTCTAATCAGACAAGGTACCTATGCTCTTGGTACAAGACTTGGGGCTCAGCAGCTAAAAGTGCCCGTCCCAGGTCATTGTCTCACGGTGGTGTTTTGTGACTCAAACCAAGACCATTGTGCCAGGCTGTTCTCACCTAGTGAGAGATGGCCTCTGTCCAAAGGAGCTTACAGTCCAGCTAGGCTAACAAAATGCTGGAAAGATCACCTGTATTTTGAAGGAGAGGAGCAGAGAGGCAAGAGGTTTAAGGGCCAGGTCTGGAAAGATTTTGGGTGCCTACAGGCCTCATATGGATCTGGTCCTACATGAACTCCCTGAAGAGTGGTTCAACTCCCTGAAGGGGGGTTGCAAAAAGGATGGAGTAGTTCGTCTGTTCTCAGTGGTGGCAGATGACAGAGCAAGGAGTGATGGTCTCAAGTTGCAGCAAGGGAAGTTTAGGTTAGATATTAGGAAAAGCTTTCTCACTAGGAGGGTAGTAAAACACTGAACAGGCTACCCAGAGAGGTTGTGGACTCTCCATCCTTGGAGGTTTTTAAAACCGGGGGAGACCAAACCTTGGCTGGGATGCTGTAGTTGGGGCTGGTCCTGCTTTGAGCAGGGGGTTGGACTAGATGTGACCTCCTGAGGTCCCTTTAACCCTCATTTTCTATGATTCCATGACTTGCTAGGCAATAGATCCCAACTCTGTCAGGTCCCAGTCCAGGGTATTGGCCACAAAGCCTCAGGGTCGCACGCTGTCTGCTGCCCCAGCTCCCTTCTCCCACGCCCATGGCGAGACAGAGGTGCTGAGAGTTGAATAGTTCAGGCAGCATAAAAGCTGCAAAGGAATTTGCGCTGCCTGAGTGCACCTCTGGGGCTTGTGCTCCAGCATGTTCAGTAATTTACAGCGTACACCAGGACTGCATGAGATGCCAATGAAGGAGAGTTTAAAGGTAGTTTAGCACTTAGCAGCCAAGCCTAGTTACTAGCAGGGGAGCACTGATTCCAGCTGGGCTCTGCACATGTGCTGGGACTAGCTTTGCAAGGACGTTGGTGTCCTGGACGACCGCACATATGGAGATTGTTTAAAAGAGGCAACTCTTAAGTTGGATGAACAGGCATACAAGTACACACAGAGTCTCTGCACTCCTAATATGGCCTCAGAAAGTCTAAAACTAACCTCTGTGTGGGAAGGCTGTCTCCCCTGACAGCGATGTTAACCAGACCGCTGCTCCGAAACATCCCCAAAGTTAACAGAGTTGCTGATATTGGCCTGACAGCTTTGGAAAGCG